ATAATTGGCATAATTCTTGAAATGTAAATATAGAAACAAACTTAGCAACAGTGTGAGAATTCTGCTTTCTGGCCTCATACCTATGACAAGAATGATTTTGGGTCGAGGTCTTGTAGGATCAAAAACCTCATACTCCTCAATTAACTCGGCAGTCTCGGAGAGGTCCGTATCACTTTCTATGGAGAATTGATGGATTGGAGGGAGCCGATCATACCGTCGATATGGAAAGTTTGAATTTTCAGGCATTACTGCAAAAGAGTAAGATAACTTTGAAACGGGAAAAAAAGCACAATAAAACATTTTTTGCACTTAACCAATTAGCAGAAGAAATTAAGAAAATTAAACTTAATGGAGTTTGACTTTTTCAACGGGAAGAAGACTCTACTCCATTAAGTGGTCAGCAAACTTTCTCTTAAAGGGCCAGATGGTCAATATTTTGGACACAGAGTCTCGTACTCAGCCACAACAGCAGGAAAGCAGCCTTAGATACTATATAAACAAATGGATGTACTTGTGTTCCAATAAAACTTTGTTTATAAAAAGAGGCAGCGAGCCAGACTTGGCCAATGGGTCATAAGTTTGCCAACCTCTGCCCTGGTGGAAACTTAAGTAGTGCCTTGTTTTGCTTGGTAGTTGGTACACATCCTGGTCTCCAAAAATGGTGCTCCTCAGAGTTGTGCAGTGCACAGCCTTCACAACTTTCACAATCACATGCTGCTGCCCATGCAGGCAATGCTTATGCATAATTTATTTAATTTATCTATAAACATAGATATACGGCCATTATGATCCAGGGACTCCAGTGAAGTCCAGTGGAATGGCTTGGTGGCATAAATATTGTTACAAGACAGGTAAAAGAGCAGCAAACAATTTCTACATTTGAAATATCTTTCAACATCATTTTTATTTTCCCAATATTTATTTTCTTTAATCTCCTTGATTTAAAAATATAACTATGAAGATTTAAATTCACATCTACCATGACAACAAATATTTGCCATTGATTCCAGGAAGGCTAGGTTGGATCCATCCCCCTGTTAATATGGTTAGTTCTATAGCATATGGTTGTTCCTACTGCATCCATTATGCCTCTGATTATATTTTTAATGTCTGACTTCATCACTAGACTGTAAGCTCCATGAGGGCAGGTGCCACGTTTATTCTTTCTTGATGGCTACAGCCTCATTCTTAAAAGAGTGTCTGACACATAGTAGTACTCAATGATTATTTTACTGCTCAACTGACTCACTGACTGTCTTCATGGAAGTAAGAATAGAAGGGAGTGTTGGTTTTGAAGAAAATATGGTATGTTTGGTTTTGGACCTATTGAGTATAAGATGACAATCATATTTCAGAAGGAAAGTTCTATGGACATTTGGAGCTATGGGACTAAAACTCTTATTCATGAGTAATGATTGTACACATATGGCAGAAAAAAATGGATGCTCATCTCACATTTACGGTACAATGCTTTCAAAAACTGACAGCTAATTATTTATCTTTGCTTTTATCATATTTTTACTTAGGAAAGTAATTTGCTTAAAATTATTAGAATGTTTCATTTCACAAAATAATTTTTCATGATGAATAGATATTAGCATAGCTATGTCAATATTTCAGCAAAAATGCATGAATCACTTTTTATTTCTAGAAATAATAATAATGCTTTAAGTTACTAAGAAGTTAGCAATTTTGTTGATCTTAATAAGCTATTCTGTAAATGACAGTTAAAACCTACAAACCACAAATGTGTAAAGAATCTCATAAAATAAAATTTTAGTATTAGATGATAAATCAGTTTGGTAACCATTTTCTGTCTTTTAGCATAAGTTCCAGAAATAGGATGGTGTGATACAACATTCTTGTCACCATAGTAGGGGAAAGGTTCTATTTGATGACTAATTATGAGATCTCTGAGTGGAAATTCTGGTAAAGTATTAGTAGGTATGGAGATTAAATTTAACAAGCAATTTCAATTCTAATAAAAGTTAAACCTACATTTTCACTCATGTTTTAGCTTATCCTGCTAGATCGAGTTTCAAACCGGTCATTTTCTGGCCCAATGTAGCCCCTTGGACGCATTTTGTTTAGCTCAACATTTTCCCAAAATTTATGTTTCACTGCTCTTAGACAATGACTGTTCTCTCTTGTCCCCCCTACCCTCATTCTCTATGACATATTTGGCCTGCCTGGCTTCTACATATAATCAAGTAACAGTCAATATAAAATAAAAGCATTCACATTTCATTTTGTTACAAAACTGTCACTTTATATAACTAGGCTGAAAGCAGCCATTCCACTAAGTGACTGTCATATCCTCTTAGACTTAAATTAAAAAATGCAAAAATATTTCAGACTAAATCCAGTAATACCTGAGGTCTGTTAGCATAATGCGTAGAAGTTCAGAGAGTTCTCCATACTTACCTCACTTGATTTAATAAGGGCCCAGGGCATGTATTTCACACTGAGCCAGATTCTAACATAATGAAGACACTCTGGGAAGTAAGTTAGCCATCTTGGGAAGATGCGTGAACTTTTCAAGCTCACAAAAATATCATCTGGTTCACCTAAGCAGTGATTTACTAAGTGGTGTGCTGCAGTGGTAACTGGCCAAAGGCACCCCAATCCTAAATCACCTAGTGGTGACCCTGCATGGATAGGGAACATCTGGAGATGTTTCCGAGAAAACATTGTTTCTGCTTTCCCTCCCTGCTTGTGTTTCTTAAAAATTAACACACCATGACTTTTCCCCAACCACATTCAAATAAAATCTAAGTGGGTCGTGACTAAGTAAGATAAAACAAACTCAGATTTATTTGCCCCATATGTTTATTGCAAATAGAATAATTGTCTTCACTTCACATTCTGTCTTTAGAGCTGAAAAATTTTGTGGTGCAACTTTTGAGAATGGTTTAAATTTTGAAAATATAACGATCTTGGTCACTCAGAAAAAATTAATTGGTTTCCTCTGATTGGAACGGACTCCATTTTGCACACACATCTTAATTTCACCTGGAACCTAAAACGCAGATTGGCTGTTGTTGAACTACCAATTTTGATAAGCACATACTTCAGAAAGCTATCAGAATACCATGAATCTCCCCTAGTGAACTCCAGTTCTTAGTTCCAAAGGAACTGAAATTGTTAAACAAGTTTATGTCTTCCATTTCCTTTATAGCACCCAGATGCCTAATCTCATGCATTGCATTCAGTAGCTGCTAAATAAATCTTGCTTGAATGAACTAGTATAAACTTTATATGCGTTTATAATATGAACTCTGAATGTGAAACACACGGATAAGTTAAATCTCTTCTCAGCTAATGAAAACATGTTGTTATATAGTAACCACCAATTTTGTCTGTCTTCTACTCACTTATTTGGAAAAGTCTTATTTGCGATTTTAAGAAAGAGTCATAGTTTGCTAATGCAATTCATTTTGCAAAATAATGAAGTCAGTGATGAGAAATTTCACCAAGCCTTCCGTGAAGTGCTGGGGAATGCTATGTAATTTTGTTTGTCTTATCATGAGTAGCTGAGAGAGATCAGTCATGTTCTGGGACCAAATATCCTTTCTGGCGTTTGTTAACCGAATACATTAAATCACTGCCTGCAGTCTGTATGGTATTAAAGAGAACAGCTCTAACTATAAACTGTCTATTATTCTACATACACATTACCATTTCTTAAAAAGGATCTCCGTGACTGTCCTCCATTGAGTGGAGGTAAGGTCTTCTTTTCCTGGCTTACAAACGTATCCCATTTCACCTTGTCACAGCCGCCGAGTTCCTTTACTTTCTGCAAACAACTTTCCAAGTACTCCACTGGGTCTTCGGGCTTAGAACACATCAGCCCATTCAAAAGACTCTGAAATACAACAACAAAATGTGCGCATATTAAATACGTCTTAAAACCACCTTTGTGGAAATGGTGTATATCCCATCTTTGAATGCTGGGTTGTTTTCGTTCTTTGCATTTATGAAAATAAACCATTTGAGTTGAAATTACGCTCTGATTGAGTAGTTAAGATAACCCCTAAAATTCTTGCCCAATTAGTTTTCAACTCAGCATTCTCTGTCTTTTAAAACAATTAAGGGAACTATATTGTTTAAAATGGAAGAAACCTATAGAAATGGGGTAAAGTGCAGCATGTAAAATGCCCCAGTCATGATTTATCTCACTCCTACCCATGCTTAAAGTCTCTAAGCCTCAGTTTCAGAGGGTTTTTTTTTAAAGGCTTAGAACATTCAATATCTGTGAAGTACATATTAAGTGCCTGATACATAGTAAATAACAAATGTTGGTGGTTTTGTCATCATCATCATCAGAAAGTCTCCCCTGTGCCCTCCGGTTGGCTTTCGGTTCCCTTCCTGGGTGTTCATGACACCCAGAAAAAAAAACCTTACCTGTCATTTATACTAAAATCATCAGTTTATGTGTTGGTCTCCTCTTTTAACCTATAAGCTCTTCAACAATACACTGTGGGTCTTATTTATTTTTCAATATCCAGCCTCTGACACTGTCCCTTACACATGGCAGGTGCATACTGGACTGCTCTCTAATTAGGAAAAAAATTCAAGCAAAACATAGAGTCTGAGTCTAAAAAAATATTTGCTATACAGTAAGTCACTACAGTATCTGCTCAAGTTACAGAGGAAAACCTGGTGTCTGATGGGTCACATGTACCAGTTCCTAAAAATGCTACACATCTGGAAATGCTGATTCCTTGGAACTGAACTGATGGGCAAAATATTTTCCTTTGGAGTATTTCATGGAAAAAGCATAGAGGATTATTATCACCATTATCTGTACACAAAACACACACCCTTTGAAAGACTGACATCTTTCCTGAATACAGTATTTTATTTTCAAATTATTCTGGTGCAATTTGCTCAAAATGGTAGGCAGTTGCTACCAGGTCCATTTGTCCTCTGAAATCCTAAATAGTGTGGGATAGAGTGTTCAATCAGAGGACTGACTGCAGAGGGAGGTCAACTGCAGAGGGAGCAGATGAAACTAACCCTAGCATCCACACCCAGTCTGTGGCCATCCACACACCCACTGACACGCACTTTGCATTAATGCCTCACACTCCTCCCAGTTAACTCCGTGGCAGTGCTTATGCTGTATTTTTGATTCCAAAAACCATACATTCCTTTTTCCACACCTTGCAAAAATATGATATGAGATAAAAAGGAGATGCCAGATTATCTGTGTTCCATCAAATCACTCAAGATTAGGTCTTTAATTTCTAAAAAATCTCTATTATTGCCTAAAATGAGTGTACAAACTCAGTTCTTTTAATGGAAAATATACATTTCCAGCCTCCCTAAATGACTCTGACTCCCCAAAGGGTACTGATTTTAGGAGGGAGAATAGGTTCCACTTATCTGTGAATAATTTGAACAATCAGCCACCATCAGGATCCAAAACAACCAGCAGATTAAAAAAAAAATCACTCTATTTGAATTAACCCTTCAAGAATTTGGATAATCTAATTTGACTTTCCCCAGTATTCAAATTAATTGCCAAATCTCTGCTCTAAAATGCAGCAATACAAGATCAATATATACACCATTAGGTTAACTAGAGTTAAGAACTCAGACAAAATCAGGGGAAAGTGGTTTTTGTTTCAAACATTTAATCTAAAAATGGAAACATTTCAAAGTTGAACCTACCAGAGATATCCCATTTAGCCTACGTGATGTCTCAAGTCAGGAAGAAATCTGAAAAGGTCGGTTAGATACAGATAGTTGCTTGACAATATGCAGATTCAATAATCAGTCACTTGGTCTATAACGATATCTAATATCCACAACTGTGGCCAATGTTTTGGGTTTGGTAGATACCTAATTGCTAAACTTCGTATACCTGGAAACTCTGTATAACTATATCGTGGTTTTGAGGGAGAAAATCCAGTTGGAAACTTGAAGCATTTGGTTTTGCTGTCTATACTCACTGCATGGAGAGCTGCCAGATTTGACTTCTCTCTTGGGCTGTGCACAGCACAGACTCTTCCTACTGGAAGGATGGAGTCTTTGGAGGTCACCAGCAGTCTCCTTCCATCTTCCTATTGCCTGGGATTGCATTTGAGTACACTGTATTTCTGTATTTCACTTAAGCAAGTTGACTTCCTTTTCTGGGTGTGCCCTATTTTTAAAACATCTTAGAATGGCCAAGGAAAAGCATCGTACCTCAACAAAAATGTCTGCCATCACTTATTTGCATACACAGCATAGATTTTCATGAACAAACTATCAAAATTCTCTGTGGTTATCAAAGAGGAAACAGTCCCCAAATTTATAAAGAAAAAAGGTGTACTATTAAGCAGCACTTTGCAATCAGGTGACCTTCCTGTGGATGTTTCTAATTACCATTTTAGGGATGAAATTAATCTCAGTAGCAGTATTGATGACAAAAACCTTCAGCTCTTCATTTCCATATTTACTTTTTGAAAATTAAAAAAAAAAACCTTTTAACAAGAATCCAACATACCCCCAAGATCTGTCCTTATGCAACACCTCCAGGTTATTTTCAAACACTAGTAAACGCTTGCTAGATTTGGGTCTCGCATACCAGGCTTGTGCTCATTGAGGGATTTACCTGGAAATCTGGGCTTCAGATGGACCTGTAAACCGTGGCTTACAGAGCTGAGAGAAAATGAAGATCTGTAATTATGGCGGCCCATTTTAAAGATAATTTGGGAAAACAGAGCCAAAATTATTTTCCCAAGTAGTGTTATAAAATTCCTTTTAGCAGAACAAATCCCCCAAACAGGAGAAAGAACAACGCATGACTTAGTTTACTACATCAGTCCACAGCCTATCATCTTTCAGAAATGGGGGACCAGTTTTCAGGGCTCGCTCTGTGAAGGTTGGCTCGTTTCCATTTTATTTTATTTTATTTTTTAACCTAAGTAAAAACACAGGATTCAGGAATGTTTTAAAATTCAAATACGGGGAGAAGGAAGGATGCAAAACGTTCCGCGACATAAGCTACGGTTTAGAACTAACCAAGGTTCCAGTTCATCCCTCAAGCCTCCTCTCCCACATTCCCAAAGTGTCCCTCATCCTCCGGGTCCCTGGTGCAGGCGATACTGCGATGCGGTCGGAAGACAGAGCAACAGGAGTCACGCCCGCCTAGCTGCTCCCTTTCCACTCTTTTTCTCTAAGTGGGTTGGAGAGGGCAGGCGAAAGCTATGGGCTGGGGAGGCGAGCAAGGAGAATCATCCTTTCCACGGCGACAGAAAACGTGCTCAGGAGTTCATTCACCGAAAGCGCAGAGCAGCGCTGGGTGCCTGCCACCCGAGACGCAGCGCTGCACTCGGTGGGTTTGGATTTGCTTTTTGCATCTTCATCCTTCTCTTTCAAGCCGTCTCTGGGGGAGGGCTGCTTTCATCCCCACTTCCTCTTCAACGCGGGGTGTGGGGGGTCCCCACTCTGGGCACGCGGAGGGACTAGGGCTCTCGACCCCTCGGTGCCGGTGCCGAATCTTTGCTTGCCGCTGGGCGCCCGCGTGCCCACCTGGCCGGGCCCCGGCACCCTGAGAGCGCGGCCAGACGCTGCCTGTAGCCCACCCTGGGTGTCCACATCTGAGGGGTGGGCTGGGGGCAGCCTGCTTCTATAACCCGGCTCGAAGACTGAAACTTGATTTGCAGGATGGGGGCTTCTGAGCGCAGCCATCCCACAAGAACCCCCGCAACCCGCCAGAAAGGCGGCTACCCGCGGCAAGAGGGCGAGCGAGCTTCTGCAAGCGCCTTCACTTCCGTGCCCCGCGTAAGCGAGGTGGGACGGGGCGCGGCCGCCTCACCCCGAGCCCCGGAGGTGCCCTCTCCCGACCCTCCCGTCCCTCTCTGCCATACCTAGCCCCCTACCTCGAAAAGCTGAGGTATTTCCCTCCGGGCCAGATACTCCTTGGCATCGTTGGTGTTCATGGCTGTGCCGCGCGTGCCGTGGGCGCAGGCGGGAGGCTCTCAGGCTGCGGCGACCTGCGCTGGGGCTGGCGGGTTCCGCGCCGAGCACGGTGCAGCCCTCGCTCTCACGCGCAAACGCTCACAAGCTCAGCTCTGGCCG